AATGGCCCTTGCAATTATTTTATAAAGCAAAGGGAAGCTTAATAACCAAGCCTTTGAAACAGTGTGATTAATGAGGTCTGCTTACCAAAGGCAAATGTAATTTCCCCTGGTAAGAGCTAGTAACTGAGAGTGATTCTCACAAGCTTCATGAATTTCTTTGGAGTTTCCGAATTTTCCAAGTGTTGGCTTTGGATATTCTGAATACAGACTGCACCCTAATACACCCGGTACCTGCCGCTTTATGGAAACGCATGCAAAACCAGGCCACTTAGTGCATCAGCTGTTTCACCGTCACTACCCTGTTCTCCTTCCCAGCTACCTTCTAAAAGCATGTCCATAGTATATCTAACCCACAGGGAATTTCTGCATGTCAAGTCTCAGGTGGCTTCAAAGCTCAGTAACATGGTCTCAGGTCCTGCCCCAGAGCTTTCTCTCTGAGACTACAGTCTGACAGATCTGTATGTGACCTAATTGTGTGAATAATCACAATAACTTTAATGAGAGTACTTAAATGCAAGGAGATGAGAGAGATTGTACCTGATTCTAAGGTAAAGAAGCAAATTCCTGTGTTGTCTCCATCCAAAATCAAAGATCCCTATTCAAAGCCTCGTAGATTTTGTCTGTATCCGTGTTCTAGATGTATGTTCAGAAAGGAAGAGTTTCCAGACCCGTGCCTAGTCCATATCAGCACAAGGCACAGCACGTGACAGTACTGCTGATTCTTAGACAGTCATAAAACAATCTTTGTCCCCTCTCTCTGCAAAAGAAATGAGGGAGGTGGAGGGCAACAAGTAATGCCTGGAGTTCATACAAGTGTCGGTGGCAATTTTCTGACCTTCTGTCAGCAACTACTTGTTGTCCCAGGGAAACAAATCCACCCGATACCTCGCTAAAGTACAGGAAGGGCAAAGCAAGCTGGCAATGGACCGAAGCTGTGCTAATCTGCACTGGAATAACTGAGCTGTATATGCCGTTTGCAGAGTTTTCAGTACCTCTACAAGTATGGACTTGGTGTATGACTTCTTTAGGTACCTAGTTTGCATCTCACCCTTCAACATAAAGGCATAATAACCATTTACACCAATTTACACAGCAGGGGCAGAGTAAAATGCTTCTTCAGTCATTTGTTTAATGGCTAGAAAGGGCTTAATGCTCCCCTGGTGAAAGCATATAAAAATTATTTCATTTTGAGGAAACAAACATGATACTCGTTTAGCTATACAAAGATTTATAGTTCTGAGTCTCAGCATGTAAAAGCTATACATCTAAATAGTTACTAATTTAAAAGTGTTGCTTTTTGCTGCTTAAGTGATAAAGGAATCTTCCGAAGAAATATTATGTTCTTTATCCATAACTAACATAGATTATAGGAGATACGATGTCAGGGCATTGCAAGATGGGAATAGTTATGCGTTTGCAAAGCTATGGCCAAATATTCTAATGGCTAAAAGTTGATTCCCTGAGCAGCTATTAAAAAGATGCTGAACTTTCTCTACCTATTATGTAGCCTATCTCTATAATTCACATACACTGAACCCCCAAATAATAAAATGAAATAATAATCAGAGAAAAACATTTTTCTCCATGTGATAGAAATGGAAGACCAGGTAATCTTTATTCTGACATTGCTACCACGTTAAAAAAATAGTAATACTTTTAAAGAAGATTCTGGAGTGAGCGTTCTTTGCCTACTGAAGAGATTCATATTAAATAACCGAGCATATTAAGCCCTCCAGCAGAAACATATTCAGAAGATGTACACAGTAAGCATCTATTTAAGTAGAAATGCAGAAGTGAATACCTATTAGTTTTTTCAATTTTAATTGGTAGCTTCCCTGCAATTCAGTTTCCCTTTGGACATCTTTTGCCTTATAATTCCTGGGGTGAAAGAAAGGACTTCAACAATATCTTTATAAATCTTAAGGAATTTCTTTTTCTCCCCCTGGTTCTCTCCATATACACAATATTTCCTAATGTTTTTATTAATAATGACTTTTAAAAGAAATAAATACATCACTAACTCATGCTTAGCTTTGAGGCCCCACATCAGGTTTATGCAACAAAGAAAAGTTTAGTATTAACTGTCAGCATTCTTTTCCAAGATTCTTTTCCATGCATTTTAGCATCATTCAACACATCATTTTAATGGTGAATCCCTCTTAGCCCTCACAAACCTCACAACACTACAAGCAGCAGGGAGCAAGGCACCAGCTTGTTTTCAAAAAAGACCTGCAGACATGTTTCCTCAAAATAACTTAGACTGATCTGCAGCTCATACCCTTCAGGAGAAGAAGTACTTGTCCTACTACGATACACAAGGAAAAAAAGTATTAAGAAGTGCCCACAACACTATAATACATGTTCTATAAGCACGACAGATCTCCAGATACATTTTTTATTACAGTAGCGTAAGATACTTTTGCAGGCTAAATATCTAACTTCTAAAATCAAGCATGTTCCTTTTTTTTTTTTTTCAATAGGCATCTTGGCTTTTGGGTTTACTACATACAGACTGCAATAGGGAAGAGAATAAAATGATCACTGAAATCTCCAGAAGTCCCGGGCACGCCACCAAAGGGGAATGAATAGCTGCCTGAAAATCCTTCCCATTTGGCACTCATTAATATCCTTCATTTTCCTATTTTTTTTCTTGTCTATTA